TTCCAAAGTTGAACCGTGGACGTGGTACATTCCCAAACGTTTCGCCGGCATCTTCAGTGAGTATCGCCATCCTTAGCACCGTACAACAACTCGTCAAAGAGACAAGTGAAGCCGATCCTTTGACCAAACGTGTGCTAAACAATTATGGCATCTCCCCTTCTGCCCTGGGTCATTCGCGTTTCCGGTAGCATCCTATCATGCCTTCACTATTACAATTTTAACCCTGTTTCTTTAGATAGTGGGGTGTGCTCCTTTGAGCGACATAACACCTTCACACTCCAACTCTCTTTCTCACCCCCCCTTCATCCTTGTGCAGGGAATGTTGATCAGTCTGCTTTATTATTATGCAGTCCTCTTTCCTAGTCTTATCCCAGTCTCCCTCTTGCTCCGTATAATCCGTTGCTCTAACCCTTGTTGACCTATTTTACTCGACTCCTGCCACCACATCTGTCATATTCGAGGCGTAATTCGCCCTCACCTGCGTCTGAGTGACTAATTCGAGGCGCAAGCCTCCGAGTGTCATGGTCATTCTTTTGCTGTATGTACCACGCCTCTGGTACAACAGATCTACCGTTAGCCAACTAGCTCCGGTCCCCGCCGTCTCTATCCTGTTTCTATTCCTAATACCAAGTCTATGATTTGCCGTGCCCTAGTCTATTGTGTGTCAACCCACAAATGTTGTGGTACAGCTTGTTTTGATTTGGTTCAATGTTGAACCACAGCATTTGTGGGTCGGCACAATAGGGCATAAGAAGTAATAGGCTTGGTATTATAGATAGAAAGAGGATAAAACAGTGGAAGCTAGAGCTGGTTGACTAAAAATAGTCGTCATTCAAGGATCACGTTTAAGATCAAACACGCTTATTGTTAGCCAAACAGCTTTAGTCTCCACCTCGTCTTTCCTGTTTCTATCTATAATACCATGAATATCACTTCTTATGTCCTAGTCTCTTGTGTGCAAACCCACAAATGTCGTGGTTCTACTTGTTTTGATAGGGCTCACTCCTCTTGGCTTCTGATTATCCTTTCTCATCCCCTTGCAATCTCTTTTCCTGAAATTAAGGTTATTACCTTGATCCAGTCGTCTTCTTTTTGCTGATCCTGCTATTGTCTGATGTTCTCCGAGTTTTTTTTAAGGCAATATGCAAAGTTTACGCTGATCTTAGCCTCTCGGATCTTGCGTTTTCTCGTGTTTTCACCATATACAGCCAATATATCTGTCGATTTCCAGTCGATTTAATTCCCCGTCCGTGCAATGTGTTCCGCTATTTATGATCTTTGTGTATCCATGTTCCTGCAGAGTCTTTGATGTTCCCTGATTCGTAGGCCGATTTTTCGTCCTGTTTCACCGATATACTTCTGCTCACAGTTTCCGCATTTGATGCGATAAACTCCTGGACATTAAAGCTTATCCGTCTTCTCGTGTTGTGTTGGTAGACCGGTAAAAAGTGTTTTTTTTCTTTGTTATCACCTTGATATTCCATTTTCCTAATAAAGGTAGCAAATGTTGCCTCAGTTTTGATGAGGGTAAGCAAATCCACTTTGGGTTGTTATCCTCATTCCTGATCTGATTTTCATAAAATTCAAGTTGAAATCAGCCATTTATGACCTCTACGTTTTTCTCTAGAAATTCTCTGGGGTATCCATTATTTAGACAAATCCGTGTCAGTTTCTCTAACTCCTCGTCCCAGAACTCTTTGTCTGTTAGTTGTAAACTTCTGATGAAAAAACTCCTCAGTATTCCGATCTTCAGTCTCTAGTTATGATGATACTAGAAATGAATTTTCTCAAAGGATCCAGAACATTGGGTTGGTGGGGTCGGAGCTGTTTGTGAGTTTCTATCTTCAATCCATGTACACAAACATCTTAGGCGAGAAGGCGGTAAGCGCCTTGCTGGAGATATTGAAGCGAGAAGAGGACATCCTGGAGGCAGTACGGATACGGAAGGAGTCGTTAACACAACTAATTAACCTGACTGTTATGACAACATATTTTACATTTAACGGCATTATCTATGAGCACATATTTGGACTACCGATAGGATCTCCACTCTCACCTCTTTTAGCAAATGTATACATGGACAAGTTGGAAAGGGAATTCGAGAAGTCACCATTGCAACCAAGATTGCTCATGCGATACTTGGATGACTACTTTGCACTCTGGTCACATGGTAAGGAAAATTAAAGTGAATTCCTCAATTTCATTAACCAACTTAAAAGAATTAAATTTACAATGGAGATGGAGGAAGATGAACGATTACCCTTTCTGGATGTTGAATTTATACGCTCCAGAGGGACAATCATGAG